TTTTTTTTTTTTTACTGGTCTTCAATGTCTATTTTTGAAATGCAGAGTCTAAAAAGGAAATAGTGCGTGTGAGAAAAGAAGAAAGGAAGGATGGAAGATGTAGAAAAATGTCATTTTTGGTGAAGGGCATGAATGTACTCGAGATGGAGGTGAATCCTGTAATGTACCCATTTGGAGGTTAGATCATTAAAGCCATTTCCCATGACTTCAAACCATTGCTTTCTGACATAGGTCCTCGTATAGAGAGCAAGTGCAAAGAGCTATCCTTCTGCTGACCTGCAGTGTGACATTGTAGAGAATCAAGACAGGACAGATGACTTTCCCTCTCCGTGACATTAGCTGCAGAAAGCATACAAGAGAGCCAAAACCCACATTATATATATATATATATATATTTGTTCTGCACTTCCAGTGAAACAGCAGAAGCAAAATTTGTTTTGAAGTCTTACATTTTCTTGGGCTCATTTTTTTCTTCACCAACAAATATTTGTAAAGAATCTAACTCTAATGAAAGGCAAAACAATATTTGTTTGTATATTTTCAGGTATTTATTAAATTCAGTCTTTAAAATCAAACACATACGAGCCTTTAAGCAATAGTTCTGCACTGAAAAGGTTTCTTCAAGTCAGTCGCGCATGAAAATGCTTGAAGGGCATCAAAAGCAAAAGTAACTGGTGTAGAAAAAAAGTCTTGCAATTCTAAATAATAGGAGTTAGAATATTATCTCTCATGCGCTTATGCTTTATCCTTCAGAAAACTTTAACTAACATAAAGAAAAAATATATTCAGGTTGCTTATTTCCAACTGACGCCTCAAACTTATTAAATAAAATAGAATTAATCCATAAAATTATCGAAACTTTTACAAACAGCAGTGGATGTTCAGTCTGTGATGTTGAAATGATAACATTTTGTTTTAAAAACTGCAGTAAAGATATTACAACAATTAGTTAAAAGCCAGTGCTCAGATCTTTTCAAGTGGTGTTGTGTAGAATGGATTTGAACAGTTAATATCTTACCTGTTGTAGATCACTCTTTGCATGACGTCACTTTGAAGGAATAGTTTATTTTTGATCAGATTGATGAGCTAATGGTTAGTTGGAGTGTGGCTATGAACAAGGTGGGGTGCTGTTATTTTTTTGTGACCAGCTCTGATCTCAGAAGTTTCACTCAAGTAAACAGAATTATATAAACTTCACATCTGCATGGACTTTGCATTACAGTAGTCCCTCGCTACTTCATGGATCAACTTTAATGTTACTCATGTGATTAGCATGTTATGGGATAAAACGTTAACAATAAAACAACAACTTTGGACAGACGCCACCATTTTGTAGTTTTCTTTCAATTAGCCTACGCTGCATCCCCAGTCCAAAAGAACTACATTACCCAGAAGTCAATAGTGCTTCCAGCCTGCTGCTTTCTGCCAAAATGGAGGGAAAGTTTTGATCTGATCTGAACCTGACCAAAAAAAAAGAGAATAAAAGTGCAGTCCTTATTCATGGTGACTTCGGCGCTCAATGGATGCAGAGAGCCGATTAGAACTGGACCAGAACCAGACCAAAACAACTTCCAGCTTCATGGGTCAATCTGAGAGCTGCTTGCCGGCCCAGGAAGCCTCTCGAGCGGGGAAGAGTTGCTTGGAGGTTCTGTGTCTTCTCTAGAGCTCACCCGGACTTTTTCATCCGGATTCCTCCGGATTATCTGGACTCTATCTGGACCATTGTGTGGTTTTGTGCTGGCTCTCTGAAGGTCCAGCTCTCTCCAAAAGCGTCTGGTGCTCAACGGCTGCAGAGAGCCGACAAGAACCGGACCAGAACCGGACCAAGGCTGGTGAGTTCCTCATATAACATTTTGCAGTAGCTACTGTGCAGTACATGCATATGTTGTTAAAATGACGTAGGTTTAAGAACATTGCAAGAGAGTGGGAATTATTTTTAAAGCCTTAAAAATATATAATATTAAAATAAATATAATGTTTCTACTTGGAAGCTTTTCACTTATTGCGGGGGTGTCTAGAACGTAACCCCCGCGATAAACGATGGACTACCGTACACAATTATTTCCATATTATTCTTTGGTTATTTCCAACTTCAAATAGAGGCAGCAGCAGCTAGATGTGGCATTTCTGGTGCAGCCTGGGACACCTTTTACCTGTGTATTGGTAAACTGATGGTTTATAAAGACATAACTCAGTCCATCCTTACATTATTTAGCTGATTTTAAACTAATGTGTTTGATTTTTCATCACAGAATTAAATCAGCAGAAAAGTTTCCTTTGGATAAAACGTTGTTGCTACCTAACGACACTGAATCCAAGTTCGTTTTTTTTTTTTTTTTAATCAGGAAGAAAATGATGCTGGTCCTGAACAGTTCCTGTATTCTGTTACGTTAATAACGCCGCCTGTTAAGTCATCCTGCGTGACTTTTTAAAGCCAGACTGCTGCAGGTAACTGGAGAGCAGCAGATCTTGTTAGGTGAGGAGTCGGTTACCACAGCGGTCATTTCACCGGACTTGGAAGAAGCCCATTGAAGGTGAAAATGGCTTCAAATAAGGCTCCACTGTGTCAGTGGTACCAGCGACAGAAAGCCAGCTGTCGGTTGGAGCAGGAACGCTGCCAGACTGAGAGGGGTTCTTGTTCAGCTCTCCTACCGAGGACAAGTGTGAGTTGTAGATCAACGGACTGAGGACATTACAGGAGAACAATGGCCTTACTTTCTCACAGCCCTTGAATAGTTCTTTAGGGTTTAGGGGTTGGATTTAAGGTTTTAGGCCAGTAAGTGTTCACAGAGAAATGCAACGATGCAAACGTGTGGGTGCCAGTGAGAGGCAGTGCCAGGGTTGGAGTGCCACCAAACAGATCTGGTTTCCCTCCATGAGCAGCAGCCGTGTGTGTGTGTGGTGTGTGTGGTGTGTAGGTGACAGTGTTTGGTGTGTCAGACAGGCTGCTGCCTCTTTAAACTCCTACCTGCCACCAAAACACACAATAAAAAGATTTGAGCTATTAAACTTTATTATCTGGTCATTCTGCTGATAATTTCCAGGTTCGTGTGCATTCCTAGGCAACAGTGATAGAAACGACATGAACTGTTTATGTTATTTTTCCACTGTATTCTTCTTTACACCCTCCTTTGGATCAGATAGATTTGTTTTTTAATTTCTCTAAAATGATAGTTTGTATGTTTTAAAGTTGGGTTTGGGGAAATGTTATGAACAGTTAATGTCTTACCTGTTGTAGATTGCTCTTTATTTGGAGGAGTAAAGTTGAATTCTTACTGGTTTGATGAGCTAACGGTTAGTTCAAGAACAAAGCCGTCTGAAAACATTGATGGTTTGTAATGGGTTTTAAAATAGTGTTGACATAAATTATGAAAGTTTTGACAATAACGCTGACTGACGTCACGAGCGCCGCAGTATGGCCGCACTGATGGGAGCTCCGCTTCAACTCGATCTTTGTTCCTGTTGTTCTTGTTTTAACCTTTTTTGCACCTACACTGCACAACCACGCTATAGGTATGACCGCGACGCACTCGTGGAGTTTTGTGTGTCGCTGCCTTGCCATCGTGGTTCAGTTCCTGGGCCCAAACCAGCCTCTGGCTCAGGCTCTGGCCTATTATGGCGGCCATCTCCATGATCATCCACATGCCTGCATGGACCGAACTCTACAGACCTGTTCGGCTCCAAGGGGAAAACCTTGGATGTTCTCTGTCTGCTGGACCTGGTTCTGGAGGGCAGTCTGGGAGGGCAGCCGTTGCGGTCGTTATTACCACACCGTCAAGCTGCTGATCGGACCTGCTGACAAGTCCTGCTAATGTTGCTAACAAGATCCTCCATCTGCCTGCACACACAGTACGGACCAGTTCGGTTCCGCGAGGAAACCTGGGATGTTCTCTGTCTGTCGGATCTGGTTCTGGCCTGTGTTCTGTGAGGGCAGCTGCAGCGGTCCTTATTATCATCAAGCTGCTGAGTGGACCTGCTAATAAGACCTGCTAAACTGCTAACAGAACACAACCATGATGTTGAAAGAACCTCACTGCTAACTGAACCACACTATAGATGTATTTATTTTTCAAATTTGGTGCCTTGTTTTTAGTATTTAGTAGTATTTTAGTAGTATTTTTTAATATGATTTTAGTATTTTAGTACCCATAATGGAAGAGGCGGGTAAAAGATAATGGATAGATGGACATTTTAGTAGTATTTTAGTATGTTTTAATATTTTTGCTACTTTTTGGGGGGGGGGGGAGTCTAGACGGTTCTTCTCATCATAAGCATTTCATTGCATTATTGACCTTGTGTTGATTCTGCATAAAACAAATAAACTTAACCTGAACCTGATTTAAGACAACACAATTCTACAAAGTAATTGGTCTTAGACTAGCTGTAGTCTCCTCAGTCCTGTCAGAACTACATCAGGTAAGATATTAATTGTTCACAACTTTTACAGCAGAGATATTCAACTTCAGTTTTAAGCAGGCCATATATAAATGTACTAAGGGTTTGAGGCCCATAAACAATAATTATCACACACCACCTCGTGTGTCTGTTTGTCAAAGTTTAACATGAACCACTGGGTGAATTTTATTGAAACTTTCAGAAAGTAATCTTTCAATGTACACAACACTGTCAGTCCAGTTCAAGATGGCCACCACAGTCAACTGAGCTTAAAAACCACAAAATAACTCAATCAGTATTACTGGCGTTGAGCTAAAAGTTGATGCAACAGTAGCTGAGGGTCATTCACACCACATAGTTTGAGCAAAACATTGGGGTGTAACGTAGTTGTCAAGATTTGACCAAAATGGCTACAACTCCATTTTTTCTCAATATAAGATCAATAAGCACTTGTTGGTGTTTGCAACCTAAAGAAAATAAAGCAATTTAGTTTATTTGCTTTCATATCATCAAACCTATTTTGTCACTATTTGGTTCTGAAGGACACATCTTGATGCTTGTAGCGAGCTTAGCTAACGCCACTTCTACTGTCGTCTTTTGTGGCTTCCTTAAACCGCTGCTTACAGGTGCTTACATGCCTTTTTTTCAGATTTCATGCTTTCCTAAGGATTTTTTGTTCATGTGAGGCAGACTTCCAGAAGCTTAGCATGAGGTTTACGGTGTGGAAGCTGCTCTAATGTATATATTTAACATTGCATTCAGACAAATCAGTTTAGGGTTCTGGCAGTTTTTAAAGGGCCATATCTGGTCAGGGGGCCACTTGTTAAATAGGCATGCTTTTCAGAGAACTCCACTTCAAAAGATTTGATTGATCACTTTAAAGTAAAAACATAACCCAACATATTTCTTGGTCCAAACTCAGCAAATTGTTGCCTTACTTGAAAAACTATTAGTATTTTTGTCTCTGCAGAAAAACTCTCTATATAAGGTTTGAACTTTCATTAATCAGTCATTTCTAAAACCTGTTAATAGTTATAAAATCTGAGTTAGTGAGAGAAGTTGTTGCACGGAACAAATTTCCAACTCAAAATGAACGGTAGTATTTGCCTAAATGGCAACGCTCAGTCTGAGTGGAACAAAAAGAAAAGTTTCCTTCTGGAGATATAAATGCGGCGTTCAGATTTTTCCAAGATGTCGACCATTTTTCAAAAGAGCAAATATTACAAAAGGATGCGACGACGAAGCAGCGCAGATCTATCAGTCACCCTGGTGATAAGATCACATGCTCTCCTCGGCTGTCCGTGACTCAACTCAGAGGTGGGTGTCTGAAAGCTGTCACACTTACACACTCCAGCATCCTACCTAATCATCCACCTACTGTGCCACACAGCGGGGGGGAGCAGGAGACAGACGGAAGGAGAGGCAGTTAACGAGAGAGGGAGAACGATGACCTGGAGAAGGAGGAGACGACAAAACCGTTCCACGAGCAGATAAACTTGTGCACGAGGAAGGTGGATGATTTGATCAAATGTTAAGGATGCTGTTTGTCAGTTAGCAGATGTCCCCTGTTACTCATCTGAGTGAATTTAAAAGGAGGGAGGTGAAGTGACTCCATCACTCCTTCACCTCCGAGTGTGCAGGGTGAGAACTTGTTCTCAGAGTGTGGAGGCACAGGATGAGACACCGCAGCCCTCAACTTCATGAGCGTCACAAGCTCAAGTCTTTGATTTCTTTTTGTCAGTTTTACCCGAGGCGGTGAGTTGTTTCGGTTTAAAGTGGCCCAGCTTCACCAGTCAGGTGGTTGACACAAACATAGTTTATGGTAAATCATGAAGAAGCGGCACATTAATGTGTGTTTTGTTCGTTTTGAGCAATTTGAGAAGCAAATAATGGGTTTGTTAGAATCGGAGTGTCATCAGTGCAAAAGGCCAGACTATAAATTGTACCCTCACTTTTTAAAACTACCTCTAAATAGTTTTAAATAACTAAAACAGGGGTCTGCAACATGCGGCTCTGGAGCCACGTGTGGCTCTTTGGTCCCCCTTCAACGGCTCTTTCAAGTTTTGACCAAATCTGACATAAAACTGAATGTTATTGGTTAAACAAAAAACAAAAAAGGATGAGTTCAAACAGTTTTCCTGTCATTTCTTTTGCAAATATGAACATTGGAGCGAGAACAACGAGCAAATACTTTAACTTGATCCTTTATTTCTTTATATCAAAGGTCACTAATAGGAGAACCTTGGTCCGTATCCGGGCAGCACGGTGGCGCAACTGGTAGAGCTGCTGCCTCTCAGCGAGCAGGTCCCTGGTTCAAACCCCGGTCCAGGGGCCTTTCTGGGTGGAGTTTGCATGTTCTCTCCGTGCATGCGTGGGTTTTCTCCGGGT